TTCTAATCCTAAATTTTTTCTCTCACAGTCAAACCCTAAAAAATAAAATCCATATCCATGAAAATTTCTTTTCTTTTTAACCCCAAGTATTCCTTTTTTTTTTATGCAAACCCTAAAAAAACCTAATTTTTTCTAACTAATTTTTTTTTTTTTGCGAACCCTAAAAATATTATTTAACTTCCAAAATCATTCAATTTTTTGCAAGCTCTAAAACAAATTATTTTTTCAACCCTAACAATTTTGCAAATTATAAAAATTTAGACTTTTCTAAATCTTAAAAATTATTTATTTTCATAAATTCTAAAAACCCTAATTTCTTTGCAAATCCTAACCTAAAAAAAAACTTAATTCCTAAATCAAATAAAAGTTATTTTCTCATTATTTTTGTTTGCTCTTATATTTGTTTAGGGTTTAGGGCAAAAATCTCATATTAATAGGTACATCAATTTTTTATTATCTAAAAAAAAAAGAGCAGTCTTTTGAATCCACGCAATGGCCAAGCGATTATGATAGAGTGGGAGATCCACCTTCAACATTGCTTGGATCGTAAGAGTTTATTGAGTAGTTGTGTATTAACTTGAACCCTATGCAAGAGTGGATTTACTTAAAAAAATAATAAAGAAAAATCAAGATTTTCCCAAAAAAAAAAAAAATCTTTGAAACTTATCCAAAACTCGATTTTCAAAAAAGAACTATGAACAACTTTGATTCCTCCATTGCACACGGAAGGTATTCAGAGCAAGAACCAGACCCGTCAAGTCCAATTTTTTTTAAATTTTTTTCAGGTTCAAAATATTTTTAAAAATTATTTTAAACCAAGAGTAATTTCAAGCATATTTTCTTTATAAAAAAATATAAAAAATGAATATTTTATTTTATTTTATAAAAAAAAAAATTAAGTGCGAAGATAATTTCCTTTTTTACAATATATTTCTTTAATACAAAAATAAAAAAAAAGAATAATATTTTTATAAATAACTCGTTCCTTTAATTTAAATGATTTTTTTAGAATATTATTGAAAATATTTTAACTATGCAATATTATAAAAAATAAAAAGTTATATATAATAAATTTTTTATTAAAAGTTTTAGAATTTAATATTAATACATTGTGTGACATTCTTAATTTATTATACAATTTATTTAATAATTTATAATGAAAGAAGGAAAGCAAAAATAAATGAATTTCTGCTTATGACATGAAAATTTGAAAAGAATTTAAAAAATTTTACTTTTATTATTCAACTCATGAAAATGTAGAAGTATTTGAAACTATGTATGATAAACCTTGACTAATATATTATATCTTACTAAATAAATTTATACTTGAACAGTAAGAAAATATAGAAATATATTGGATTTCTATTCAAATGCAAAAATTTGATATTTACATGTCATAATCCCAAAAATAGATTAGGACTTACTAAATTGTGACACTCCTACTTTTATAAACTATTTTTTGACAATTTATGAAGAATTTAAAATCTTAATTAGATTATTATTTCATCTTTTCTCATTTTTAATACAAGAAAACTTAAGAAAAATTTACAACTTTTATTTTTTATCAGTTAATCCATAAAAATTTAATAATTACTTAAAATGATCAAATTTAAAACATAATTAAATATTTCTTGTCATAATATAACTTACTAACTAAAATAAAATTTGAACCACATTAAATAATTAATTCATTTGTATTACTATGCATATAAGTGTAATATTTACAAGTTATGGTCGAAATACATTAAAACTTAAATTAAATAATTACAATAAAAAAACAAAATACATTAGATCTTAATAAGCATATCACTCTCACACCAAAACTCAGAGAATATGATCCTAATATGGATCAATCTAACCAATCTTCTAAGAATAGTCATACTTTATTTCCTGAAATTTGTAAATATAGATAACTCTTCTCCTCATCACAAAAATCTAACTGAAATAATAATTTAAGGAATTCACAATAGATCAAATACTAAGTCAATCACATTAGCAATATTTTATAACATATATTAAGATTATACATTTTTACATCAATCAATATGTCATAAATATATGTATTATATCACACCAATCAATATGTTATCACATGTATTATAATCGCACCTATTAATGTATTATAACACATATAATATAATTACACTAATCAATATGATACAACTCATATATTATAATCATATAATCATTGTGTCATAACACATATATCACAATTCCATAATCATTGTCTCTGAGATTTCTTGAAATCTTCCATAAGTATAGATATTTGTTATTTAATAGTAACATCACATATATAACGTGTCTATTTGGCCCATTTTTATATCGTAATAAATTAATAAGTATAAAAAATATAATATTTTAAGTTTGAATTAAGTTTGACGGTTATATTTAATTTATATATATATATATCATTTATTTCAAAAGTTAACAAAAGTTTTCTACGTCTTTAGTCTTTTTTTCACATTCAAACATTTTTCATTATGTAATTTTAAAATTTTATAAATATAAAATCTAAATCTTTACAACTGCATAAACACTTACAATCTATGAAAGATAGAAGTTAGTTTTTAAAATGTTATAAAAATATTATCGATATTAACATATTAAACTATATTTATTTATTAACATTTCATATTCTAATTATATGATTGTTGAAAATTTTCATATTAAAATAAAAGTTCTAATGCTTTTAAAAATTTTATTGAGAGCATTCAATTATAGAAGTTACTAATGAAAAAATACATCATTGTGAGAATTTACAATTCATTCCTAAAATATAAATCTAAATAAACTTATTATATGTAAAAAAAATCAATCAATACAAATATAATTTTTATTAATATAATTATTTATTATGTTATATTTTTAAAATTAATACACTTTTTAATTTTAAAAAAATTATTTAAATTAAACTTATTAATTATTGACATTTCTTCTTAAGAATCAAGTATCTTAGATATTAAATCACATAGGTCGAGACAAAGACATCATATAAAAAATATATCTAAAAACAATAATTAAATCTTAAATACATTTATAGATTTGTGACAGAATGATTAGAATATATTTATTTATTACACCACATATTTTAAGTTAAGTTTAAATATGTCATTTCAAAATTATAATTAAATAATTTCATATATAATCTATTAAATAAATTTATTTTAATATTTATTTTAATTTACTTGAAAAGTAAAAATTAGACTCTATTCAGACGAGTATTACTTAAATATATATCATATTTGCATTAAACATTATTTTTTATTGAAAAATATTTTTGTTATATTTCTAGCCATTAGTCTATTATTTTTTATGTATTTTTCAATTTTTATATATAATAGTTCTAAAAAATAATTTATTTTCTATAATAATAATTAAAATTAATATTTTTTTTTATCATTGTATAATATTTTAATGTACTCGTATTGAAGTTATATATATATTTTTTTTAAAATAATTTCAGATCTCATAAATAATATCTATTCTTTTACTTATTTTTAAAAAAATATTATTTCATCCTTTAATAATTATATAATAAAAAATTTATTATTAATTTTAAATTATAATTATAATCAAACAATGTATTATATAAATTTAGTTTAATAAATATAAATAAATGATATTTTATTTTAATTTTATTATTATATATATTATATTTAAATTATATATTTTTATTTTAAAATAAATCAATTTAATAAATAAAATAAAATAAATCTATGCAATGCACTACCATATTTACTGGTTAGAAAATATATTACTACTATTTCTCTTAATTAATATATATGACCGATATAATAGAAAATTAAATATTATTTTAATAAAATTTAAAATACTAATAAATTTCTTTATTTTTATCTAAATCTTAATCATAAAAATATGTTTATTTTTATATATTAAATATGAGTTGTCATTTCTCAACAAGAGTATTTTTTTTAAGAAATATTTTAAATAAAAAGTTTTTTAAGTGTTATTTTCTTCATTAAACTATATGAATTCTTTTATATTTATCATTTATTTTTTAATAAAATCTTAATTTACATTTAAATTTTATTTTTTATAATTTATTTCATAACATTAAAAGTTATTTCTCATCAATTTCATTATATTGATTATTAATAAAAATATTTAATCATTTTAAATTTATAAATTTTAAAATAATTATATAATATATTTATTTTTCAAAAAATATTTAAATTTATAATATGTGTGTAATAGGATGCTGACGAGTTAAAATAAAAATGTGTATGATAATATGATACATATAGGTATATAAAAAGAAGAAAGAAATTTGGGTGTAATTTTGTATGTCTTTTGTATGAATTTTAATTAAAATCAGAGTTTCACCTTAATAAAAAGTTTATATTAAAAGTTGTTATAAATTGTCACAGTAAATAATATCTAAAAAATTGTACAAGAAATTTTATTCTAAGAAATATACTCAGATTTAACGGAGAATAAATTATTTGTTACAACAAAAATGGAATTTATAATTTTGAGAAAAAAATTATTACCAACCAAAATAATCACATTGCTTAATTATTTGATCAGTGTTATCAAGTTCAGTTAACTTTCAAAATTGATTCTTTGAAATAATAATAATACCGCTGAAAGTGTAACCATTGATTAATTTTAATCAATTTTGTTATTTTTTTTTTTCTCAAATGGGGAAACAAATCGGAACTTAATTTATAAAGGAAATGCGTCGAACCCTTCCAACACCGACCAAATGTTTCTTTTGATGCGCAAAAAAAAATAATAAAAGATTTACAAGATAATTTTGAAACTAGCAAGTATTAAATATACAGGTTGACTTTTTTCAGTGTGTTTTTTATTTATTATCATTATTTCTTAGGTATGTAACTGAAATCATTATTAAAATGACATTTTGAGAGGATTGAACATTAATTAGACGTGTGTAACCATTAACATTGGGTTTATGTAATTAACAATTATTTTACCTTTACATTAATAATAATAATAAACTCTCTGCGTCACAATGCAGTCCTGAAGCAGAAGACAAATACACAAAGTTACAAACCTTCCAATTATGGCCATTTCTTAATTTGATGTTTTTCCTTGGGTCATAACTTAAGAACAAGTGGTGTGAGGTGTGCATTATTAATGCATAAACAGACCCGGCATCGGTGGCACACAATACGTGAGTTTTGGTCCACTTTGTGCCTTGTGGCTTCTCTTGCGCGTGGAACAGAACTCATCCATTCTTCTCCATATAACTCACTGCTACCTTACCATTTTTCCTCCATCTCTTATGACAAATTCTCTCTGTTCATAGAAAATAAAAGGTTTGTATGCAGATGCGATTCGATGCCATCCTTTTTTCTTTCCCTGTTCCAGATTCACACCATGTTATTCATCACGTCTCCAATTTTCTCCTTTCTCTTTCATATCTAATTCAATTCATATAATTCAAATCTCTCTTTTCTCCAATTTAATTGCTTACATGTATACATATATGTTTATTTCTAAAGATTTTATCTTTGTATTATAATTAACACTGTCATGTGCGTGTTTCGAACGAGGCGCAGAAGGAAGAAATGGCAGGAGAGTCATACGATGAGGCCGTTGCAACGCTGACCAAGCTCATCAGGTGAAGGAAAAGTTTACTTTTTGTACTTTGTTTTTCAGTTGCGCAGAACTTAGATAGTATTTTTGTACCTTTTTTTAATAAAATAAATAAATATTATTTCCACGATTCATACAATAGAAATTGACATTAACATATATTTTTAATTAAAATTTTAAATTTTGATCAGAAAATATTATCAAAAGACATATGATGGCGAAGCTAAATTTCCTCCTTATTCTCACCAAAACAAAACGACGCCATCGCTTCCTCCGTTCTGTAATTAAGACAAAAGTAACATTGTTCTTGTCGTAAGGCGTCAGTTCCCCCGTTATTTCCCATTTCCCAAAAGAAAACCGCGTTTGTTTCGTTAAGACGATGAGGTTGGTGGTGTGGACCCGGCCCATCCACGGGCCCACGCCTGCAGGCCCTGACGTGTTAGTTATGACTTTTGTCTATAATAACGTCACCTTTTTGTTTTGGCAGCGAGAAAGCCGATCTCGGAGATGTCGCCGCCGCAAAGATCAAACAGTTGACGGCAGAGCTTGAGGCGAACGGATCGAAACCGTTTAACCCTGACGAGAGGATCCGAACCGGTTTTGCCCATTTCAAGAATGAGAAATTCGAGTACGTACAGGCTATGCTTCTATGGTTTTCCTTGCCTAGCTCACTGTGTTTGCTGCATTTATTTCGTCTTGAAATTCCTCGCCTTAATTGAATTGAACTGAAGTATAGTTTTTTAGTTATTGTTTAATAGTTAAAATTAAAAATTTATTTTAATAATTAACTATAATATTAAATATAATTTTTATTAAAATAAAATTTTAATTTTAATCAATAAATAACATTATTAGTATTATAAAATAACAGGTAAGTTTTGTTCCTTTGGAATATACCAACTTTTTAGTGTCTTTGCCTTGTGAAATGCCTTAACTGTCCCTTCTGGATAATTCGAATGTTCCGATGAATGGAAGGGGGCGGTTAAGTTTTGACCACTTATAGTGATAAGTATGTGTTATCATCAAGTTCCCTTGGTGTGGGCCCCATGTCGGTTCCAAACGTCAAAACGCCAAGAGACACGTCTTCTTAATGGTACTTATCGGATTTAAAGAGTGATAAGCGACAGTATAAGTAGACACGTTTAATATGTCACACGGAGAAGAAACGATTGCAAAGGATCACGGACGTTCCACTACCTTTTTAATATGTTTTCAGTAAAGTTTTGTTTTAGTTGATAAATTATAAGTAATTCGTTGGTTTTATTCAGTTTTGTGAAATATTTAATTATTTTTTAAAATTTATTAGGAATTATTTATTTGTATTCTTTTATTTTTATTGTTATTCTACGTCACAAAGTTAAATTAAATGATTTTTTTTTGCAATGTAAAATATCAAAGTAAAAGTTAACAAAATTAAATTCATTGATATTTATAATATTAAAATTTCATTGATATAATTAACTACAAAATAAATATAATTTTAGTTTTTCTAATGTGAGTCAAGGACACATGTTAAGAACATCAAATAGATTATATTAAATGTTTTAAATTATTATAAAAAATAGTAAATTATTTTTATAAATTTGAAGATAATAAATATTTTATTTTTAGTAAAAAATTATTTTAATTTTTAACATATGACCTTAAACACACATTAGATAATTTGATAGTATAGTTTTAGTAATTATTATTTTTAGGCCAATAATTAACAAAATCAAAATAAATATGTACATCTAATTGAGTGTCATAGTCAAAAGGAATTTGGCTCTTTTAAAATAAAAAATATGTTATTGAATAATATAGTAAAAAATATATTAAGAATTATGATATATAAAGTATTTTTAACATTTGTTTAATTTTTAACTACCTCCCTTTTTAATAATTTTCTTCAAAATAAAGAGGGAGATTATGTATATATATATAATCTCTTTATGTTCAAGTGCAATTTTTATGTAATATTTCTTTTAATAAATTTTTATAATGTTTAAATATTTAAAATCAGGATTTTGAAGAATAAGGTTAATATTTTTCTTATTATTATTGTTATTGCAGGAAGAATCCGGAATTGTTCGGGGATCTTGCCAAAGGCCAGAGCCCAAAGGTTAGTCATGTTATTAGGGTCTTCAATGACTAGGTTATGGTGAACAAAAATAAATTTCAGTTTCTTTAGATCTTTTTAACATTATAATAGTTTTACTTGAAATGGTCAATTTCGTCTATCTCATCTAATTGTCTAATTATTATTATGCATGCAGTTAGAACTTTTCATATTCATACATATGTTTGACCGAACTTCTGATATTACCAATAGTATGCACGCGTTAACTATGACCGTTTCATTGCAATTTTATATTATTTGAATCTAATAAACATTGTGCTTATGGTATTACTGAAAAGATAAAAGTATTATTTGACCTAACTTTCTGTAAGTGTTTTAAAGAAAACGTCAGGTCAAAATTTCTAGAAAAGTTCTAAAATAGAAGTAACTTTTAATAAAAATAGAAAACTTTTATAATAGTAACTAATTAAAGGATCTTTTATCTTCCTTAAAAATGAGGATTCTTTTTTTTTGGCTAACAAGAGAAGTCCACAACTACATAAATTTTCTATAATTTAATTATTTTAACAAGAATTTTATAAAAGAATCTATGAATTTAAAACTTATTGATTAATACATGAAGTTATTTTCTCAAATACATTCTTAATATATAATTAAAGTATTGTTAATTACTGATTGTTATAACATGGCATTTCCCACACGTGCAGTTTATGGTGTTTGCTTGCTCAGATTCAAGAGTTTGCCCATCCCATGTTCTGGATTTCCAACCGGGTGAAGCCTTTGTGGTCCGAAATATTGCCAACATGGTTCCACCATATGACAAGGTTCATTTTGCGCATTAAATGTTTGGCTTATGTAACACCATTAAAAAGAACAAATTGAAAGTAAAACAGTATTCGGATGTCATAAACCTGCTTCAAATTTGTCGTCAGAAATCTTCGTTTAATTTGATGTTTCCAATACCCAAGTTTGACTGGCCTTTTGTTGTTGCAGACGAAGTATTCAGGAACAGGGGCAGCCATTGAATATGCAGTCTTACATTTAAAGGTAAATAGCCATCCACTTCCCTATAATAACTATTAAGGTAGGTCGTGCATGTGAAAAGGATAACGATTGGTGGGGGAGAAATAGCCTTTGCCTCATTATTTCTTGGGATCCACACGCATCTTATGTTCACTCTTCACATGAAATCACTATTTAAGATGCATGTGGACAAAAGATGCAGTTTCTTGTGAATACTTAAGGTCATTTTTTTCAAATAGTTTTTTACGTTTTTTGTTAATTACAATTAGTATTTCATCTCAATAAAAATTTGCATTTAATATTATCAGAAATTATTGAAATAAAATTTAATTATAATTAAAAAATAATATAAAAAATTAATTATCATTAAATTTTTCCCTTTTATATATATATATATAAAGAGGTCAAAAAGTAGTTAAGCCAACAAATATTACTACAGCAATGAGGAATGAGTGAAAAACTAAATTTAACCCTGACTGTAATTTAATCACCACACACATACATATAAATTTTCAATTTAAGAATAGTTATTTACTTATATTTTATACCGTATATTAAAATAAAATAAAATAAAATAATAAAGCATTAATTAATAAATAAATTATGTAAAATTTTGTACATATTTTAGGAGAATTTTAAAATTAATAGTCAGAATGACAAATTTCACTTTTGATAAAAAGCTATTAGAGGATATCATTTGACTAAATTTGACAAGTTTCATTTAATCTTTATCCTACACACAGGTTTACTTCTTAACACACAGAATCTAGTTAGTATCTTAAAAGCCTTATTTAAAAAATTAATAAATATTTTTATTAAAAACTTATTTTCTAAAAATATTGGTAATATTTGTTAAAAAAATTACATTTAATTTTTAAACTAGTGACATATATACAATATATTCCAGAATGAACTTTTTCCAAATTAGGTTGCACTCGAGGAATGGTAAATCAATACCTACCCACCACACCATCCATTCAAGTCATAAAATGGAAAACATAGGGAGAAGGTGGATAAATTAGTGTTGGTGGAGCACGGATGGATGAATAGAATGCTTTTCTTTAAAACTAGAATAGCCTTTTACTTTTCTTTTCTAGTTTTTTGTGTGTTCTAATAAAAGGGAATATCTTACAGGTGGAGAATATTGTGGTTATTGGACACAGCTGCTGTGGAGGTATAAAAGGCCTCATGTCTATCCCAGACGATGGGACCACTGCAAGGTAAAGTCTACATAATTATTTCTTGGATCTCATAAAAGCAGGGTTAAATTATTTTGCCAAAAGGATGAGTACAGAAAGTACATATCATATATCATATATTACCAAAAACAAAAGTACATACGAATGTCTTCAACTGTTAGGGTAACATTTTAGAATTTCCAAAGTAACTTGATCGTTCACAAATCACAGATCCCTTTTTTCAGTCCTGATTCTATGTAGTGTCATCAGTCACATGCTAGGCTCCATAACAGTAAATAAACAGTTTGATTACACCTTAATTATTAGAGGCAACTGGAAGGCACCATAAAGCAATAAGGGGGCAATGTTTTTGATACGTTGCTTACCAACAACATATAATTGCCATTTGTCCAGCATATTAGTGAAACATGTTGAACATTTATTACTTTACTGTTCCCTTGTTTTTCTTTGTCAAATTATAATGTTCATCGGCCATGAGAAAGGACAGATGTTTCTATTAGAAAAATTACCATGTAAATGACTTTTTGCTTAGGATTGTTTGTATATCATCACTAGTTATTGGATTTATTGCTTGTTAGATTCCGAATGAATTTTGCTAAAGAAAAGTTTTAATTTAGTCCTTTAAAGATAACAGTGTCACCACATAGATCTTTTAATGATTTGGGCCATCACATTAATTTTATTTTTTTTTTGAAAATTTAAATTTTTATCACATTAGTTTTCTAAAGTTTCTACTACCAAATTAGTCTTTTTGACACCACTATAGTCTTTCACGAGGATTAATTTGATGAAATAATACATCCTTTTCCTCATAGATGTACTTCCAATAAATTAAAATCTTATGTTCACCACTTTAATTATTTTTAGATTTTTGGAGAATTAATTTGACAACAAATTGAATATTTGAAGGATTAATTTGGTGACAAATTTTTTAGATAATTAACATGATAAAATTTCAATTTTTAAAACTAATTTGATAGTCTAAATCTTTAGAGGACTTGGTGGGATTTTTTTTATCTTTATAGGATCAATTTGAAATTTCTCTCAATTTTATTATATTACATAATATAGTAACGCAGACAATGAATGACATTGAAAATGATTTCATTCCTGCATTATACAGTGAATTCATAGAGAACTGGGTCCAAATTTGTACTCCAGCAAAGTCCAAAGTTAAAGCAGAAGCAAGCGAATCAGAATTCTCAGACCAGTGTACCAATTGTGAGAAGGTAAGTGAAATTTACTTCAGGGACTCTATTTCCCATATCACTTTGTTATTGAATGGCATAAGTTGTTTCTAATAAGCTATGCGATGCATGATTTGTTTCTATTTAGTTACACTGTCTCGTATTAAAGTTTATTACCACTCTTCAATGCAGGAAGCAGTGAATGTATCACTTGGGAACTTATTTACTTATCCATTTGTGAGAGATGGTGTTGTGAAGAAAACGCTTGCTTTGAAAGGTGCACATTACGATTTCGTTAAGGGCACGTTTGAGCTGTGGGATTTGGACTTCAAAATCTCATGCTCTGTATCCGTTTAAGATCACTGAAGCACCAAACGGTGTTCTAAACTCGAGGTGCGTGATGATGTACATGAATCCCTTTGCAAGTGTTTTGCTGTTGAAAAAGAACCCTCTCCCCTTTTTCTTTCTTTTTCCCAAATCCCCAGAAAAGAAGCAAACACTCAGCAAAAATAATGGTCTTTGAGACCAACTCAATAAGTTTTGTTTTCTACCGTTTTCTATGCTACTTAGAGGATTTCTTTCTGCAAACAATTATAATGTTCTAGTCGGTATGGAAATTTTTTTTAAGTTTAAAATATAACTCACAAAATGGTCAAATTCAATTATGTTATATCCCTTCAAAAATAAACGTTTTCTTAGCAATCTAGTGTGTACTCTGTTACACTTTCAACTGAGTTATTCAATCAATAGTTGAACGCTTAATCTGTTGCTGAAAATATGAACGTCGTAAAGTTTTTTACGAGCTAAATCCACAGTACAAAATTTTTCTTTCGAACAAAAATTACAAAAGCTTTAAATTGAAATCTTCTCATCACACAAGGGACAGCACTTGTTTCATGCCAAACGCGGGCAGCTAAGACAGCAGTTGCTAAAAGACACAAGCAATAAATGTATAAAAAATGAAAAAAAAAAATTAAAGAAATGATAAATATTTATAAATACATTTCCATCCTTGTTCCTAATATTATTTTTCTTATTTATTCAATAGTATTTATTTATGATGATTGTTATCATACCTCTAAACTTGAGAGAGTTACTCTTTTTTAGATTAATGACTATAATTTCTCTAATATCTTAAAGATGAAAAAGTATTGACGTTTTTTTAAACTAAATCACTAATCCTATTTTTTATTAACATAAAATTAAAGGTGAAAATTATTTTATGTGTAAAAGAGGATACTGAATTTTCTTAATTATAGAGAGTACTGTAGATTTTACCTTTATTTATTGATGCTTCCTATAATACTTTGTAAACTTGAAAGAAACGTTGTATACCTTTTATATATTTATAGTTATGATTTCTTTAATATTTTAAAAATTAAAAGATATTTATATTTTTTAAAATAAATCACTAACTTCACTTAATTTATAAGACACTATAAAAATTAACTTATTTAATTACTATTTAATAATTTAAAATAAAAAATATTATTTATTTGAGAAATTTATCATATCATAGAATTTAATTTAAATACATTAATAATAAATTATACTGCCATCTAACACACTTGATTGTCATATTAATATTAAATATTAATTTTTGTAATTATATATATATATAACACATAGTCACATACTTTACTTTATATATATTATTTAAAATCCTTTACCAACTAATTTTCTTGAATAAAATAAGTTTTTGTTAGAGTGACAACGAGATAGTGGTGTGAGTTATAAATTTCTAAGATTAACAATTATTAAAAAACTATGGTAGGATGTTGAAAATCATGATTTTCATAATTTGCATAATGAGAAAGGAATTACATATCTCTATCCATTATTAAAGAGGAAGAGAAACTTCAACACCTTTATTTCCTTAACGAGAGAGAGATGGAAAAACATGTTTCTACTCCTATGTTGGCCTTCTCTATTCCTTCTACTTTCTTGGCGGTGAGAGGAAGAGACAATATACTTTCTAGAAGAACCATATTTTACATAAAAGTGAGACAATCACTTTCAATTGCTAACTACATCAAATAGCAGTTAATTTCAGAAGCTGCTCTTAATCCTTGACGAGTCACATGAAACTTTCTTGAGGCATTTAAAATCTTACATTCTTCTATTTGATTCAAGTGACATTACTTAATATCTTAGACAAATAAATAAATACATAAAATTAACATAATGCTCATTGATATGACTAAATCATTAAATACAATGAGTAATTATAAATCATGATTAATAATCAGAATTAGTTATAGTCACCATTGTTGTCCAACACTCAATGATATAGTCCCTTTAATGTGCCATAAATTAGTCTTCTTCTTGACACAACCACTAATTGAAAACCACATAACTAGTCTAACATGATGTCTTTATTCAAGACGTACCTATTTATATTACTATGATACAATTATGCATAATATATAAAATATAAAGCAATAAATAAAGAAATGTACAAGAAAGGGTTAAATTGTATGTTAAAAAACCTTTTACAAAACAAATGATTTAGAATTTCACCAAAAGAAGAAACTTTTAAGGCAACCATTTGAGTTTTAAGACAAATCTTCTTTTAAAAAAAAGTACAATGTGATAAACTTAAAAAAAGATGATAACAGATTTGAGAAGATGATCACAAAACAATCATGTTAGCATATAAAAGAGCAAAATGAAGAACACCGATGTTTATGTTAATTTACTCTCAATAACTACAGCTACAATCGATCTTTGTCACATAGAACGATATTTTCATTGGATAAACAAGGTATACGAATAATTTGAAAACAATTTTAAGTATTTTTTGAAAACACTAAAAGACGGTAATATTTCTTACCAAGCCTCTTCGAGCTTTAGCTGGAAAATCAGAAAACTAAAACACTTGACAAATAAGAGTTTTAGCATGAGAGCATGGTAACAACAAGAGTCATTTTGATTTTGGCCCAAATATTTCTTACCAAATCAATCATTTTGACTTTGGCCCAAATAACTTTAAATATACATTATTTCGCAGAATGATATAACGATTACCTTGAAAGCGGCGCAACAATATGATTTAAATATGTTTTTATCATATATTTTGATATGATCATGATTTTATTCTCTCTAATTTTTTATTTGATTTTTTGATTTTTTTTAAAATTAATAATGTCGATTAAAAGCATCTAAAAATAAAATCATTTTAAAAAAATTAAAAAAACCTCGTAAAAAATATATAACTGAACATTTTTAAATCTATTTTTCTCATCAATATTTGAAGTGTACGGTTCCAGTATTCAACAGCTAGCATCAATGCCAAGTAGATGTAAGAGATGAAACTCCACTTCTCCTTTGGGTTGGAGTAACAGATTCTCTTGCAACGGAAAAGGGATCAAATTGGAAATTCAAAACTGCAGTTTCATACTCTTACGTCTATAGAAAGTTTTGCTTTCAAACAATTTTAATGGAAAGTTTAAAGTAGTAAGAATGCACAAATGAAGTTGTTCATATATTTTTGAACTTCAATCTAAACTATTATTTTCACATAATCTGAAATTCACTAGACGCATAGCAAAATTGGCTATCCCTTTTATTTGATTCAAGGGATGGGATGTATTACAACCTTTCCAGTGGCTCGGTTTGTTTCAAGGTAAGAGAAGGCTTCAGCAACCTTGGCAAAGGGGAAAGGACCTTTGGGGTCTACAATTGGCTTCACCTTTGCACCCTCTAAATATGGGTTTAGTTTCCTCAGAACAGCTCCATTGGAAGTAACTACAAATCTGAAGCCAGGTGGGGTAACAGCACCTGTGAGTGCCACCACACTGCCACCTTCTTTAATAGCCTTCACTGCCCTGTCACATTGCCCTGCAAATCACCACCAAGGAATGAACCATGATAAAAAATGAGTCATTCAAATTTGTGCAGGGGAAAAGTGGGTTTATGGGAATAAATTTTTTTGTGGACTTTCCCTAATAATAGATTATATAATATTTTAATGAATCTATGAATATTTATTCAAGCTAACAAATTTGTTTTCTAACTGGAAAATGCCATTTGATGATCTGCTTATAGCCGCATAAGTTTAATAAACCAGGATCCTCTTGTGTTAGTAACTAACACGACAATGTTATGTTATGCGAGAGAAACCCATCATTATTTGTGTAGTAGGATTCATTGATCTTTCTTTTATGCCTTCCTTTCTCTAACTTGATATTGTCATTTTAGTTAATAACAATGAAAGAATCCAAATCATAAATTAATTATCTAATGAACTAGAAATTTGGGCTTGCAACAATAACAATTAACAAGACCTTGCTAATTGTTATTGTGGCATTCTCACCAACTGTTTGAGAACCTTGTATGGAAGACTGGAGGAACAAGATTGAAACAATGAAAATAGAATTTTACCAATGGCATCATAAACCACATCAAATTTTTCTGGCAAGTCTTCAAAGTTCTCTTTTGTGTAATCAATAGCCAAATCAGCTCCCAAGCTTTTCAACAGGTCCAAATTTCTAGTGCTTGAAGTGGCAGCAACTCTTGAAGCTCCAAAAACATGCTTAGCTAGCTGTTAATCATTGAAGGTATGGGTAAAATATAACTTGGCAGTTGTCAAGTGTACGATTTTTTTTATAGCACTTTAAATTTCTAACACACCTCATTTTAAAATAACCAGAAATGCATTTCCTCTATTGATGCTTACTTCCCACTGGGTGAGGTCAGCTATTCATAAAGGCTAATCAAGTAAATATACTTTCCTTTTTCAATTGTAGAACATTTTACATAATGTTTTAAGATAACTCTAGAAGGCAAAACTTCTGTATTAGTTTATGATAAGAAAAGGTTTGAAGTACTCCAAAACCATTGCAACTAGGAACGATGTTGCTCCTACAACCATAAACTAAAAACAAACTTACAATCTCTGCATCTGTCGTAAAATTGTAGACAAACCTACTGACAATCTCGCATCTGTCATAAAACAGCGGTCAAACCTTTCAAACCCACAACAGGTCGTAAAATTTTGTAAGAGTGTGGTTTTAATGATAGATTTAACTAGTCTTGGAGGGAAAAAAGAGGAAAAGCCAAAACAAAGCTTCCATCAAATACCAAGTTTGCTGAATAAATGTTGAGCTGAGTACTGGGTAGAAGCTTAATTTGCCCGGGAAAAGCCTATACAGTGTACAAGTACAATTACTATTCAAAATGGCTAATTTGTTAGCAAGCACTACCATTCACCAATGAATATACTCCTAAACTTTTTTCTTACTAAGCACTAACAATTAGTAGTAAGATCAGCGATATCAGATGACATGTAGAGCGATACACTACCAAGAAATGGTATGAGCTGAGCTAGTTGAAACCTTTAGTAATTAGATAATTGGACTTAATCATTGATTCATTGTCTAAGTGACAAAATCTCTATAGTTAATTCAGAGACCGAGATGCAAAATCAATCTTTATGTGACATTTGATAACTCAAAATTATTTTACATATATTATGCTAAAGGAGGAGAAGCTTTAAAAACTGCCGCTGATATATTTATTTGAAGTGTGGAAGAACTAATGCAGAGAGTGAATACCTGAATAACTAAGCTTCCAACTCCACCGGAACCATTTAGAATAAGAATAGATTTACCAGGAGAAAATCCAGTCCTCTCCAAACCCTCATAAGCAGTCTCAATTGCTAGAGGAAGTGCAGCAGCTTGAGCAAAGTCCAAATTCCTAGGTTTTGGTGCCAACAATTTCTCTTCAACAGCCGTGTACTCAGCCAAAGACCCAAACTGCTTAGGCCCTTCTAGTGCTTTCTCATTTACGTCTCCATATACTTCATCACCCACTTTGAAATCCTTTACTTGACTACCAACCTTCACCACCACACCCGCAATATCATAGCCTGGAACAGTCTATGCACAAAACAAGCCAAATTCGTTACATTACTTAATTACTCCAACAAAATTATGAAATCAGCTCAAACTTTTCCTTCATTCTCAACCTAAATTCTCTTGCAGACTGCATTAACCCACCATATCTTTCAACATAATTACTATAAGCTTTCCTCAATTGCTGAATATCTTCTTCAATTATATATATATATATATATATATATATATATATATATATATATATATATATATATATATATAGAAATCATCATTTTCATCCCTGAAAGATGGAAACGTTGAAGGACTATAAATTGATTGATATTTTTCATTTTTGATGGATGAAAATGATGATTTTCATCGTTTAGGGATTAATATGATTGACTCCAAATCTTGCAGGACTAAAATTTCATCCAATATAAATGAATTTATATCCAAGGAAAACACTATTTTGATCCTTGAATCATACTCCACCCTGAAAGATGAAAACTAACGTTTTTGTCACTGAAAGATGAAAATATTGAAGGACTAAAAAGATTATCTTTTTTTTTCTTCCATATTTTAGGAACAAAAATGACCATTTTTATCTTTCAGGAATTAATATGACCACTGATATCAAATCCTTCAGGAAGCAAAATGGTGTTTTATTCATTTATACCCATTTCATGTACAAGAAAAAAACAATTAAATTAAGACTCCATTTAATTGCAATGTAAGAGAATAAAATAACCATACCGCTAATTCAGTTATCCTTTTTCCCTGGGAACATAGGAATGTAAATTTAGCACCTACTAATCAAGCATGATTTTCTTTGATAACTCCTCACACACAGAAGAAAAGAGAGAATAGAAAATATAGAAAGTGAATAACCGGAAGAGGAGAATCAGTGGCCTTGAACTTTCCCTGCCTTCTCTTGGCATCAACAGGGTTAAGAGCTGCAGCAACAACTTTGACAAGAACTTGATCCTCCTTCACCTCAGGCACACCAACATTAGAATCAAACTTCAAAACATCTACACCTCCATATTCCCCATACACCCATGCCTTCATCTCAGAAGCCACAGGTGTCACTTTCACAGCCTCAGAAGAAGCAGGTGCGGTAGCCTGAGACTTCACCAACACTCTCCCAGGCCTTACTGAAAATGGAACCTTGTGAGGGACACGGGTGTTGAGTGGTGTTATTGGGTGTCTGCTTTCCCGGAAAGTGAAGGAAAATCTGAGAGAAAGTGGAGAAGTTGAAGGGAGTGAAAGAGGGTGTGAAGTTGTGGAGGAGAGTGGAGCACACAGAGACATGTTTTGAGTAACGGTTTATCACTTATCTCCGCTACAACTTCAACTACCCTTTCTTTGGTTAACTTATAACGTTGGTGTTTTGTTTGTTACTTTGTACGGCACCAACGTTGGCTTCATATGCACTCGCGTCCACACCACACGATCAATTGTTGCTCCACCAGTCACATAGAAGAATAATAATATACACGATAATTTTATTTTTCTTTCATTTCAATATTTCTATTTCTCTTTCTTTTATATTATTTTAATTATCATTTTTTTTTATCTATCTTCCTCTTTCTTCTACTCAAAACACTAGAATAGTTATAAATAATTTTCCAATAAAATACAACAAGATAATCATTTTACATGACCTCTTTTTCATAAGTTATTACATACACAAGTGTATCAATTTAAAAAAGATAAAAAAAAAAGTTCAAAATAAAGGTTTTGAAGTCTTAATTTTTTTTAAATAACATTTATTATAAAATATCATATGTTTTAAAATGGCCTATTTTGTTTTTTATAATTTAAAATTTATAAATATTATGATTTTTTAATTTAACTTCTTATTTTAAGAAACCTTTGTTAGGGCTTTTTAGAAACACAGAAACAAAATAATTTTGAGTAATATTTTTTATCCAGTCACCGAAACTATAAGAACAACTACAGGAATGGTTGTTGTTTTGTTAAAGTGTACATGGATGGCACATTTTGTTCGAAGACTAGATTTCACATTAAACTCAACTGTTACATGGAGACCTATTATGTTTGAACCCAAAAATTTTGATTAATAATAAGACTAGAAGAGTTGAATGAATTTTTATGCTATAAGTCACTCATTTGTTAAGTGATAGAAATTAATGAAAATTTTCTAAGTTATAAATTTTTTTATAAAGATTATATTTACTGAGGTATTTTATTTATTTTAGTTGAAAAGCTTGTTTAAATAATAGCGTTTCTTATTACAGTACTTTTCCTAGAGTTTTTTAAACACTAATTTTTAATTTCGTCCCTTCAATTTTAAAAATTTAACTTTTTTTTTTCAATTTTTGAATTATTTTCTTCATTAAATCTCATTAAAATATAATTAAATAACTAAATCATATATTTTAAAATATAAAACCATTAAAATAATAATATAAAATAATGTATATTATATCATTTTATTTGATATTTTTAAAATAAGAGTAAAATTAAAAATTTATAATTATTTAAAAATATAAATTTACTAAATTTTAATGCTAAAATTAATAATATCTTTATTTATTATTTTAAAATTATTAATGAATTCAATAATCAACTTTACCGAACTCTTTTTATTCAATCAGCTAAGTTTTTAAGTTTTATCTATAATTTGGAACTTTTAACTAACTTATTTGCTTAGTTTTACGAAACACATAAAAAGTAATACAAGAATTATCATTTATCATCAGGATAAATGGGAAGATACAGTAAAGCTTTTGCTAAAATTAAGTCACTCTCCTATATTCCGTTTCATAATTAATAGAAATGTAATAAAAATGTAACGTGGTATTAATTTGTGTAGATTAATGAAGAAAAAAATATAAAATAAAGAATAATTAAAATAAAATTACACATTAAAAAATATAAAGATTAAAAATGTAGGTAATCTTGGAATGAACACAGAAAAAATAGAGTGAGATACAGGGATCGATATTAATACTCTTGTGTAAAAACGACGCCGTGCAAGCAGCTTGTGAGTTGTCGTGTTGTGCCCTTTTTCATGTGTGTTAAGGGACGCTCTGGAGAAATTGGGAAAACTCTAGAAAGCTCCAATTTTGACGTCGAATTCAAAGATCGATGAATGTTGTTGTCTTTCTATTTCTTTTTTTCTGGTTACTATTCTCTCAACGTGTCCCGTGATAAACATTTTTTCTTATTTTCAATGCTATGTTCTTGGCAGCGTTGCACGAGTTAGATGGGTATACAATTAGAGCCCAGTCGTGATTTGCATGTACATTTTACATGTATAAATTATAATTATTTGATATAATTGTTATATGAAAAAGATTATCAAGTACATAGGATTTTATTCATAATTAAATTTTCATTATTTTACTTTTAAATGATTTTTATAATTTAAAAATAGTTTTAGTTTATATAATTTACTTTACACAACCTATTTTTTAAGTCTTATGTGAAGTGACTTTCCTTTGATTCTAAGCTTTAAACGGTTGATTAAAGTTAAGATCGGAGATAAGTTAGTCTATTTTTTAAAAAATTAATTATAAATATTATGTTATTTTTTAATAAAAAAATACATGTTATTATTTTCATTAAATTATTCTACATAAAATTAATTTAAAATTATATTTTAAATATATTTTTTTATCAATTTTATTAAATTAAGTTATTTTACTTTAAAAATAAAATTTATTAAATTAAGATAAGTTAAAATTTAAGTTTATAAATATTTATTAATTTTGTTAACTTCACAAGTTATTTTTTTATATTTATTCATAAATTTTATAATATTAAGTATCATATATCTATAATTTTTACAATGACAATGATATATTTTTCTTACCATATTAAATTTATTTAAATAAATTATTTTAAACATTTTAATAACATATAATTTAACAAATATAGCTAATATTGCTTTTCATTGTCACTTTTTATATCTCGACTATAAGTTTAAAAATATTTGTTAAATATGTGATGTTCTTAAAATAATTTTTTAAAAATAAATATATTAAAATATTAAAATGTGAAAAATTTTATAATTAATACTCAAATAAAATTATAAAATAATGTAGTAAAAAATTATTTATAAAATTATATGAATAAAAAATCTTATTATGATTTAATAATTACCAATAATATAAATAAAAATTAGATAAGTAAGTAAATTAATTTGATAAATTATTATATTTTATGTAATATTATTTAATAATAATTCATTCTACATATTTAATATTATATAAATTTAATTGTTCTTTATCTATTTTTTAAGCAATTTATTGATCTATAAGGTTATAGTAAAAAAAATTATATAAAATAAATATTTTTAATAAATTATAATAAATTTTTTATAGGTAGTTGACTCATGAATTAGCTCTAATTTACTTAATCATTAGACTTTTAATTTATGAACTTTTTACATTATGAACTTTTTGGCTTTGTGAGTTTTTTTACCCTAACTCATGGAAGTTAAGCTAAATTAGTTAAAAATGTCCAATTTGACACCTTTATGTATACTTTTAAAATTTATTTCTTAATCTTTTGTAATTTCACAGGTTTATGTTTTGACGTCTATTGGTTTTTACTTTGTTTAGGCTTTGATTTCTATGATTTTATATTAATTTTTTTTAATTTTTATAACATACATTTTGTAACAATTTTACTATTTTAGTCTTTATAATTTATTATTGTTTGAAAGTCATTAAGTGATGATTAAGCAAATAGTTTTTTTGTAATACTTTGTCACATAAAATACTAGCTTTAGATGTAATATTGAATAAATAATTAGTCTCTAAAATATATGTCCTTTTTTTCTTTTTCTTTAGTCTTGCAAGATTTTAAATAAGTTAGCTTTTTAATATTATATTCGACATCAAAGTATTTCTTTATTTGAATTCACTCAATAGACAATGTTTCATAATTTTTTAATTCTTTTATTTTTATTACTATACGAAAAAAAAAAGTATTTATTTGATATTATGTGAAATATTGTCTACTTAGTTAGTTAGTTATCACTTAACAAGTTTTAGTTAATAGTAAAATTTATTTTCAAAAGGATAAAATTTTATAGAAATAAAATTGACTAAAAAAGTTTATAGGGACTAATTTAATATATATATATATATATATATATTTAGCAATTATTTGTTTATTTAAATCTAAAAATTTGTATAAATAAATTCCTTTTATAAAAAAAAATTATACATAAAATCACAATTCTTACCTATAGACACAAAATATCAGAAAGCCTTTGTAGTTGTGTATAAGTGTATCTTACACACAGAAGAAAAATACCAAGACTTATATATAAAGAAAGCTAAATTGGTAATACTAATATCATCAACAATAATAATAACTAGTTTAGTAGTATGTCCAATAAATATATATATATATATATATATATATATATATATATATACTTTAATAATTAAATAACATAATTTTATAAATATAGAATATTATAATATATTAGAATGATCAAAAGACAAAAAATTAAGCATTAAGAATTTTATATTAATGAGAAATTTAAAGTTTACACTAGGTAACAAGAAAATTTTATAAATCTAAACATAGACATTCATAGAAATTTAAAAGTTTATATAAGGTAATAAATATATATAAATATAAAAATAGTTATGCATAAAAGTATAAAATTAGTAATAATTTTGATTCAAAATTTAAAATGAATATAACAAAGAAGTGGGTAAAAATATAATCATCACAGTTAAAAAAAAATTGTAATTCATACATTATTTTTAGTTAATTTTAATTTTAAAATGTACATAAAATGTGAAGAAAAATAACTCTAATAAATGTTTCACTTCTCATGTAGTAGACTCTTATTTATAATATAGAAGTTGATAATAATAATAATAATAATAATAATAATAATAATAATAATAATAATAATAATAATAATAATATAAAGGGAAAAAAAGAAATACCAAAGATGATTATCATTATTGTTGCAATTAGTGTTTGTTTTTTACTTTTAAATGCAGTCCTTTAATATTTTAATAAAAAAGTTATTTATTATTGTTAGTACATTTTTAGTTACAATTATAATTAGGTAGCTATTTTTATATAAACTCTCTACTATAGTAAGGTCAAGTTTAAGCTAACATTTTTAGTTGTTTAAATCATTTTTAATTTTTTTAAACTTTAAACAATATAACTTTATTTGCATTGGATTGAATAGTTCATGTTGACGACTTTAACTAATAAATCTTTAAAAGAATAACTAATTATATTTGTACAAAGAATGAAACAACTAAATAAATAGAACTTGAAAAATCAGAAAATATAATTTTCATGTAGTCTATACATTTACTCTTCTTCATTTATTTTTAATTATAGTGCATAAAC